TGCCAGTTCTCACGCTGACCAAGAGCTATGGGAAAGGGACTCTGATAGTGACCTTGCACAGGTCATTAAGACCAAAACTGTGCACCAAAAGGGATTAGAAGCAGCACAGGGTCTGCGGGCAGTTTGGATGTGAAATCATTAGCTCTGCACATTTCCATAGAACTTGACATTGTGCCAAAGGCTCTTATGTCCATTCATGTCCATTTGAACCTGATTCCTAGTCCGGGGTTCACTCCCAGCATTCTTTTAAAACAAACCTCATTCCTCCCTGGGAATAAATTATATTTTACTTTCATGCAAACTCCATGTCATTCTTTCTCTATTACTTCAATTCTCCCATTTTTCACACCTTCCCTGCTCCTCCACCTTTCCCCATGTATTTCCTTATCTCTTTAGTTCTGTTCACTGCTCTACGTCTCTCTTATTCTTTCTGTGCTTGCTCTTCCCTTCTTCTGTGACTCAGAGTCTTCTTTCCTGGAGGCACTTTTGTCTCTCTCTGAATGGCCTTGCTTTGTCTCTTTGCTTCTCCTGTCACTTGCACCCTGTCTCTACCTTTCCATGTGAGTCTTAGTGTGAACCATGCTTGACCTTTGCACATGGCGCATAACCCTTGGAAAGGTCGAGGGTCCTAAATACCTCCACATGCTCGTCCCCCAGACAAGACTGCAACTGCTTGCAGCGACCTAAAGAGGTGGCCTCCCATGGGTGGCCTTTGTCCAAGATCCCTCTTGAGTTAAGACTTTGGCACCCCCCCTACCCCATGGTACTTGGGTCCCCCTTCTGTGTTGAGAGCAGGGATGGAACATGTGGTTCTCCTCACCACATGCTAATATGGGATGTGAAGAAGATGCATACATCTCTTATTGCAGAACAAGAAACCAGCGGAGCACCGGTTTAGGAGTCAGACGCTCAAACTTGCAGTCTGAGAGGAGTTCCAAATCACTGTGAACACTGAGAAAGTTGTATCCTTTCCTGAGCCTCAGTTTCTCCATCTGTTAATCTCCAAGCATCTGTCTAGGTCACAGACTTTAAGTTTTTAAGCTTTTTGTGAAGCAGAAATCCAGGTTGCTCTTTCAGAGATTTAAGAGAGGAAATGAAGATGCAGACCTCTCATGTCAGCAGTTGCTAGGGGTTGAGGGTGACCTGGGCAGAGGCAGGAGGCGGCGGCGGACCAAGCAGAGTGACAGCTGTCACACGGGAGACTCCAGCGGGGAGAGGTGCTGATATCCCAGGCCAGACGGTTGTCAGGAAACAAGGCATATGGAGAGGTGGCTGGTGGCAGTGCCTGCTGGCTACTCCCTAGTGCCCGACCAGAGGTTACTTGGAGGAGGGAGGGAAGGAAGTAGGAGGAAGCGACAAATGACAACTGCCTTTGATGCTGAAAAACGGTCAGGCTTTCTGGAACTTGGAGGACAAAGGAACTTCCAGCCTGCTCCAGCCTCCTCCCTGTCTAGAACTCAGGAAGGGAGACTTGAAAAAGATAAATTTAGACTCATTAGAAGTGGCTTGCCTTCCCACAGTGTGGAGTCCACTGGCTTAGCATGGCTCCAAGAGGTGGCACAATCTGGGGATAAAAATAATTGCACAAAAAGTTTAGCTAAAGCCAAGGATGAGAGAGTTTAAATGGAATGGATTGTCCTAATAGAGTAGTAGTCTGGGGAGTTCCCTAAATCTTGAGGCTGTGATCAAAAGAGAAAAGCCTGGTATGTTCACTACACTCCCCTCCGTGAGCAAATCAGAGCATGCCCAGGCCCTGGCTATTCAGAGATGATCCAAGGTTGACAGGTTGGGAACAAGGAACAGAGTGTTTGAGGCAGAATGATGACTTCGGATGGGGCTAAAAGTCTGTCTGGGACTGGGTCTCCCCAGGCCAGCCTTCAGGGTGCCACGCTCTGTCTTACTGACCCATCTGTTGGCAGTGGAAAGACCAGCATCCCACATGATCAGGAGACCTGAGCACATGGGCCATCCCTGAAATGACCTGCTTTAGAACCAAGTCCTGTCCATGCAAAAGGAGAATCCAGGATGTCATGAAGTCCGTGCAAGGATCCAGCATCTCTTTACCCATGCGCATCCTCCTCGTGGACCAAGCTAATCTTCCCACAGGAGGATGGGAACTGGCACCCGGCATCTCTTACACAAGCTAGCCACTCTGCGAGTCGCGGTGAGAAGTCAGACTGCATAAACCACACAGTGTGCCTATCACGGCTGCTAGCATCTGAGAAAACACCCTGTTTTAAAGGTGAGGCAGTGAGATTATGCTGATCATGGGTGGGGCTATGATTTGAAGCCAGGTGTATCTGGAGGTCTGCTGACTCCCACTACTGCTTATCCATATGCCTGGGCCTTTGCAGGTTCCTTCCCGAACAGGAAAACTGCCCTCATAGCTTTTATCCCTCCCAGGAGGCACCATTCTCTGCTATCACTTCAAACTCCAGTTCACAAGACTTGTCCTCTGAGAAGCGCTTTATTTTTCCTTCTAATTCTTTTCAAAAGGCTTCACATGGGAACTCTATGGAAACCACTGGCATCCTTTGGAACACTGCTTTGCAAATTAAAATTTTCCTGTCTTTTTTCCAACTGTGTGTGTCATCTTGTAAGCTTTTAAATTCTTTCCTTCCTCGAAGATTGTTTTTTTCTTTTGGATTCCAAGCAGCATTATTCTATTCATCATCATGCTCAAGACAGTTTCATAGACGATTAAAATTACAGCAAACTAGTATTGCAGAATCTCAGCATTGAGCAGCAGTTTATCCAGACTGTCCTTAAATTTCCCTGGGAGCTTTCCCAACAAAGTAGCATTCAGCCTCTGCTCGAGCATCTGATTTGTGGAAATCAGATCTCCAGATACACCTGGCTTCGAACTCCCTTTACTGGGAATCAGAGGCCTTCATTTTGCCAATGAGTCACCGTGCGGCAGCCCTGTCACTTTTAGCACACTTGGACCCTCTCTCAACCTCACCCTTCTCTTGCGACTGCTCACTGCTCACTGTCTCGGCTACATCTCCCACTGCTCTCGCCTTACTGCCCACTCAGTTCAACCACACAGGACCCCTTCAAGCCTTGAAACCAACCACATTCTTTTCCTTCTTAGAACATTCATCTCTCCTTGAAACCTTTTCAATGCTCACTCCTACTCATCTTCCAGGTATTAGCTAAATAATGCTGCATTTGGAAAGCAGACTCCAAAAAGCCTTTCTATTGCTGTCTAATCCAAGAGCTGCAGCCCACTACCACTCTGCTCCAACTAGATTAGATACCACTGTTAATTGCTTTCCTGGAACCCCATATTCACCTTCATTAAGTAAGCACATAAGATCTGGCCCCCAACTATACCTACATGTCAGAGGGTCTAGGGCTATTTTTATCTCATTTTCCATTTTATCCCCAATAAACAGCATGGTACCTAGGACACAGAAGGTGCTCAACAAGCATGTGATGACCACAGGATGAAAGGTTTTAGAGGATTCACACCTCCCTCTCATTCTCTAAAATGGGAGGTCAGGGAGTATGCTGAATTGAAAGACAAAAGCAAGGCTTTAGAGTCCACCAGACTTGCACGTGATTCCTGGCTCCACCTCTCACTAGATGATGAGCTTGAGAAAGTCACTTGACTTCTCTGGTATTGACTTTTCAATTGTAAAATGAAGGCCATGATGCCTTGAGGGTTCTAATAATGAAGTTAAATGGCAATATCCTGTCTCTCTCACTTCCTAGAAGGGGGCCTTTGGAAAGTTACTTTAGATTTCTGTCTCTCTTCTGTACAAAGGAGACATAATAGCTGCCGTCTCACAGGGCCATGGCAAGGATTATGGAAGTTAATAAATGGAAAGAATCTTAGAACACCCTTGGTCGCTATGATTGTTATATTATTATTACTCATAGTAGTAAAGAGCTTGAAAAAGAGTAATTCTTAATAAATGGCAACCATTTTATTATCACTCCGACTGTAATTATCACTACCATTAATAAGAGAATGGGATGGAGAAAATGATGACTATAATGTTTCTTACTAGTTCTGACCTTTATTACTATGACTTCCAATGATAAAGAGAACCTTACATTGTGATAATATCCTATACCTTTTTCATGTAAGACTGTCTAAAAATATAGCTTTCCTTTTTATTTTTTTTTTTAGAGAATGCTTTCGTATACATAGAGCAAGACTTCTCACTCTACTGTTTTATAGATCTTCAGATTATGAAGCACGAATAAGTTCCACCCAAAGTCTCTCTTTTCTAAGCACAATAGCTCCACTTGCTTCAACTATCCAAGGACCTTTCACCATGAGCCTGCATGTCTAATCTTCATAGAGTCTGGCCAACCTACTCACCATTCTGTTCCCTCTCATTTGATGAGTGTTCAGTCTTATCTTTTAATTTCTCATGGTATTCCTGTATCCATTAATGGGGAAAGAGGTCTTTGGCATATTGTTAAGAAAAAGAAAAGCAATTTCTCAACGATTTTACTGAGATTTTTTGGGAGGTGGTGGTGTATGCACTGTCTATGTAGATAGATAAATAGGGATAAAGGAAGAGAGAGAAAGAGAGGTATTTTAAAAATAGTTGAGGAAAATGTTAAGTCTGGGTATTTCTGGGTGATGCAATTTTTATATTCTACTATATTAAATGTCTTCCTTTTTAAACTGCCTGAATAGCATACAGGATACTTATTTTTCAATAGACTGAAAAATGAATTAATTTTTTTTTTCAAAATGCCATTAACTGTACTTACAGGATGATTTAAGATTGAATTTAAAATATGTGGATGGAGTTAGGAAAATGGAAAGGTAGGACAGATACATGCTAGGTCCATGCAAAAGGAACTTTAAGGAATTAATTTTGCTGACTTCTAACACTCCTTGGGTGGGTGCCTGTGAGCTTAAGGGGAAGCTGGCCAGTATGACAGGTCTCTGTTCCACTGTCCCCAAGGCTTCCTCCCTCTGCCTAGATGGTGGGTCAGTGATTCAGACCGATAAAGTGCAAGTGTCTGCCCCATACCTAAAGGTCATCTGGAAGACCTGGCCTTGGTTCACATGCTGGGTCCGGTTGTTGTAACCATGCAGCATCTCTCCAAAGAGGGTGTCGTTGAATTTGGAGTCAGGTTTGAGGCACTTGGGGCCCTCACAGACATCTGAGAGCATCAGGCAGGATTTCCCATCAGGAGCCAGCTTGTACTCCTCCACACAACTGCAAGTGAAACAGAACTGAGAGTTAGCTCCGCATGCCGGATGCCCCCATTAGGGCTGACCTAAAAATCAAGGTCTCCTTTGCCTGCAAAACAGGTCAGAGTTTAGGAATAGAGACAGCTATTCTGGCTGGAATCTATCTAGGGCACAGGTGTCTGGAGAGAAGCACATTAATCCTGCAAATTGGTGAATTCAAAGAAAGTCGTTTGTGACATTTTGGAGGAGTCAAGGGGACACCAGCGTGCACATCCACACACAAAGCAAATTTGAAAACTGTTTTCCATGAACACACAGACTTGAAAAAGCATGACAGACCAAATCACGGGGAATTACCAACCAGTTTCTCAAACTAGAATCTATTCCCAGTGTATCTGTCAACCAAGGCTGAAGACTAGCAAAAAGAAGGTTTTTATCACTCTTGGAGCTTAGAGGTGAATCTTCCAGTACCATGGACAGCACAGAAAGCTTCTGTTCAATTAGCAATATTAGCAGCCTCTGTTCCTCTCTAACCATCCATTCCTGAAGGTCAGAAGGGCCCTTGACATGCCACTGAGGCAGGGATGGGCTCCTCTATGGACCAAATGGACATCTGGATGAGGTGCAGAGATAATATTTGCAATTTGGGGATGTTTGCAGTGGGAAAAGGATCTCTTAGAGAGGCATGGCTGGGTGGGGACACAGGGATGTGGCAGGGTGGGGAGAAGAGTAGTGATCTCAGCCCCTGAAAAATCATTCCCAAAACTGTAATTCTTTTGAGTATCTACCTTTTCACAGTCCTGTGCCAGGCGCTGGGGGTAGGGTGCACATAAATAAATAAGGCAGACAAAAAAGAAAGTGCTTTACACACAAATACAATAAGGAGCCAAGAAATAAAGCATGTCACACTGTAAGTAGTAAAGTTGGCATTCTAATTCAGGTCTGTTTAGCAACAAATTATCTTTTTCTACTTTTGCCTCATCCAAATCCAGTGGTTTCTATTTGCATGATATGACTCTGGTTGGGTTGTGCCAGTTTGAGGCAGTACAGAGCAGGCAGTCTCTTATTTGCCCTTCCATCAAAGGGTGGAAGGGAGATCCACTGACTCTGATTGCAAAGGGACTCATGTGAGAAGGCAGAGGCTCTGTAATGTGGTTTGGGAAGAAAATGTACCCAGATTTTAGGAACCAGTAGCTGATGCTAGCGACATACAGCTCAACTGAAGGCAGGAAGAAGACAAGCAGAGCTGAAAACTTGACCCAAGCCCACTCTAGGGAGAAGCCAGGAATGCCTCATGCATGAAGTGAGCTGTCACTCTTTCCTTGCTTCCCCCTAACCTCTGGTGGAGGTTACTGCACTGATGGACTCATTTTCTTTCATGTATTCATGCGTTCCTGCCCAAGGTGCAGTGGCAAGTCTCTTGGAAGGAGGTACTGTCCTGGTTTATGCCTTGGTAAAGTCTATCCCCTTCTTTTTGCATCTGTTAAATGTAAATAACTTCCTCTTAACACAGTTATAGCACAGATGAAGTGAGAGTATAGGCAAATGCATAGCACATGGTAAGTGCATGATAAAATCTAGTTCCATCCATTTATCCCAGGAGGCTCCCAGCAAACATGGATAAATGGTTTTACTGGGTACAATGGGAAGAATTCTCTCTCTCTTTCTTTCTTTCTTTCTTCTTTCTTTCTTTCTTCTCTCTCTTTCTCTCTCTCTCTCTTTTCTTTCTCTCTCTCTCTCCCTCCCTCCCTCCCCCTCTCTCTCCATGCACCCATGTCCCTCTGCACCTGTGAATAAATACATTATTGTAGATGAGTAAACATTATCAGTCTATAGAGTAAAATGTTGAAGTTCTTCATTTTCCACACCACACCTCTGGTCCCACAGGTCATCACTGTTAACTGTTATGTATTCTTCTATGTTTTTTCAATGCATTTAAATACATATAATACACACACATACACACACATATATATTATAAAACATAATAAACTCAGAAACAGAATTATACTATACATTGTTATGAGACATACATTTGTACCTCATGCTATTTCTTGGGGATCTTTTTAAATCAGTGCACATCTAGATCTATCTTTTTTTAATGGCTATTCAGCATTGTACAGTGAAAACGTACCATAATGCATTTAACTAATTTTTATTGATGGGCACTTTGGCTGTTTATAGCTGTTCGTTATTACAAACAGTGCCACAATGAATATCTTTGCACATATATCATTATGTATATGTGTGTGTTTCTATAAAACATATTCCTAGAAGATGGATTGCTCGGTCAACATTTTATGAATTTTAAAATTTTGACAGATCTATTAAATGGTTGTATGTAGAGGCCCTATCAGTTTACAACTCTCTCACTGATGAGTGAGAAACCCCATTTTTTCACATCATTCACGTTCATTATTGTCAATCTAGGATGGGAAAAAATAACTCATTTTTGTTTGGATTTGCATTTTCCTGATTACTGGTAAAGTTCAGCATCCTTTCATGTTCTGGTCATTTGTGTTTCTCCTACAGACTGTCCATTCATGTGCTTTGACCCATTCTTCTAGGGTGGTAATTTGTCTCTTTCTTTTTATTCATTTGTATGAGGTCTGCATATTTTCTGGGTAGTTATCCCACAGCTTCCATATATATTGAAATTATCTTCCAGTCTGTGCTTGTATTTTAATCTTGCTTCTGATGTCTTATAACCTCCCTATTCTGGTCCTTGCCTGCATCTGAATTTTGTGCAGTGTTTAGAAAGCCCCAATATGATCAAATATATTTCTGTATATTATTCTAGTATTTTTATAGATTTTTTTCATCTTTGGCTATTCAATATGCATGGAATTTATTTTTATATAGAGTGAGAGTGGTTATTTTAACTTAACTATTTTTAAAATGGGTAACCAATTACCTGCAGTGTCCATCCTTTCACCAAATAATTTGAAATGCCATATTATCATATATTAAATCCCTATATGTCCCATGCATACATGGTTGAGGTTTTCCCTATTTCATTATCTGTACATTCCTGCAATAATTCCACACTATTTTAATTACTACAGCTTTATAGCATATTTTAGATATAGTAGTAAAGTTAGTCTCCCTCCCTTCATGAACACTGACTTTCCATTTTAAAATTTCCTGACTGTTCTTCTCTACTTTTCCTTTTAGAGGAATTTTAGAATTGGCTTGTCAAATTCCATGTAAAACCCTAGTAGAATTTTGAGTGGCATTGTTTTGAATTTGTAGACTAATTTGGAGGAAACCTAAACATTTTTCTTTTCATTTAATGAATATATACTGAGAGTCAACTGTGTGCTGGGAACAGCTCACAACTGTGGCAAAGAACACATCTTGCATTGACCACACTGTGTCCTCTTCCTGGACACACACTGTAGACTGCAGTCTACATGTCTGAGCCTTTCTTGCAGTTGGGCTGAAGGGACCATGTAACTGGATTCTGAACAATGCATCTGCACTGATAAGATATAAGTCACTGCCAGACTTAGCTTTTTAAAAACAGCCTGTGATTCTCTTTTCCTTAGGTCTGGCAAGCTTGGATACCATACCGTTTGTTTCAGGTGCATATTATGGGATGGAGGAGGACTGCCTTAATCACAATGGACCTTGCATGAATAAGAAATTAACTTTTGTGTGCAAGCTTCTGGCTTGGTGGGGAGGGGGGCTTCATTTGTTATAGCAACAAAACTTATCTTATCCTGACTGATACAGCATCTTTATAGTTTGGAATCTTCTAATTCAGAGATATAATTTATATCTCCATGTTATCAAGGGTTCTTTTAAAAAATTCACTGAAGTTTTTGAATTTTTGTCATGAGAGTCTTGTACATGTCTTGTGGAGCTTATTCATGAGCATTGATGTGAGACACTACACTGTAGAGGTTGCAGGTTTGTGTTTTGGATCCAGACCAACAGAGTCCAAATCCCGATTCTGCCACTTAGCAGTGTGACCTTGCACAAGATGTTTAACTTCTCTGTCCTTCTTTTGCTTATCTATAGAGAAGATCTCATGTTATAGAGCTACCGTGAGGATTAAACGAATATGTTTGGACTACAGTGTGCCCTTGTAGAGTGGTAACTTCTACTCTTACAGATTTTCACACTTTAAGAATGAGATCGGTTCTTCGTTTATGTTTTCTCTTATATTTTCTACTTAGTTATTGCTGACTTTAGAGAGGCTATCCCTGATTTTTTTAAGTTGATTTTGCAATCTACCATTATAAGGAACACATCAATTCTGGGCCAGGCATGGTGGCTCACACCTGTACACTCGGCATGTGCCTGAGGTCAGGGTATGAAGTTACAGTGAGCTGTGGTCTCCCCACTGCACTCCAGCCCGGGTGACAGAGCAAGACTCTGCCTCTAAAAAAATAGCTCATCAATTCTAACATGTCTACCAGCTTCTTTTAGATGAATGGGCACATATTTACCCACTCTGGGTATTAGGATTATGAAATACAATCTTAAAATTGTCCTTTTCATTCACACTGAACAGGTGTCTAAAAAACAAAACTGTCCCTTTTATTTCTTTCTCTGGATCTGTTTATAGAAGGTACAGGTTATCCATTCCTTGATGATTGGATAAGGCCTGCCTATAAAATCTCCTGGGCTTGATGTCTTCTTTTCAATTATAGATAGTTAGCTCTCTTATCATTTATTTCTGTATTATCTGCTTATTTACATTTTCTATATCATCATGACTCAAACTTGGCAATTCACATTTTCTAAGAGCATAATGCATTCTACCAAGACTTTCAAATGCATTGGTATAAAGTTCTACGCAATATTCTCATTAAATGTTTTATCTTTCATGCTTCTGCGTTTGTGTCCCGAGATCACTCCTAATGTGTTTGTGTTCTCTCTTCTTTCTCTCCTTTGAATAGGTTTTTTGTGCTTTATTGATGAGGTTCCTTTTTTTTTTCTTTTCTATTTCATTTATTTCAGCTTATATTTGTATTAATTCCTTCCTGCTGTTTTCTTTGACTTTGTTTTATAATTCTT